TTCTGAGCTACCAAGCAATGACAATACTTGTCCCAAATTATTTCGAAAAGTTAAAATCAGCTGCCTAAAACCGACCTGGCTTTGTTTGCATGGAAGCCTCTATGTGACCAACACCTACATGACCAGCACTAGACAAAACCTGTGGTTAGTGGCCACCACTCTGGATGGCGTGGCTAGAGAGCACCTGTCATCAGTTTCCCTCAGACAGTGCAGATGGGACACAGTCTCCGTAAACACAGGTGACCCACAGGAGACATGGAAATTTCTGTGCTCTTAAAGCCCAAGTGGAGAAAAGCCTTTCATCAAATAAGGAATGCCCATAAAAAAATTTATAAATGTTCAGTTCTACAAAGGAAACTGCAAAGTGACCCAAGGATTCTGAAAGGGCGAGGCTCTGCTCACAAGATAGGTCTACTTGCACATAAAATAGCAAATCTGAAATGAAGGGCCCTAGTCCCAAAAGAATGACAAGTTTTGACCATAACACGGACAGTGGGCCCACAAACTTGAGAGCTGCTTGGAGCCAGAACCAACCAGTCTGTCTGACAACACGGAGCAGCAATTCACCAGGGAAGCATCATGGGCCATTTCAGTTTGCGCTGATTCACATTGAGCACTGGCTGGCAACAGAAATTCCGTGGACTGGAATTTGGGTAGAGTCAATAGTCACCAGCCCTGGCTGCAGATGTTGGAGAAGGCCATAGCGCAGCACCTGGCGGCTCACTTGAGGCAGCAGGCCCCGCTTCTGAGTGAGCGAGGAGACTGGGCCCCTCATTTTGAAGGGCTGGTCTCTAACCATAAAAGCAAATGACCCCAGGTGCAAGTGAAAAGAGAACTTCAAAAATGAAGCTCTCTGCTGTCCAATACAGATAGAAGTATACTGCAAGTTTAAAAAAGCAAACCAACGATTTTCTACAATAAACCCCCAAATGAAACACTTACACTGTAGGCAAAAAAACCTTTTCTGTACTTTTGTCTCTTTAAACAGAGTCAAGCACTGTCGCCTTTGGTGACGGCAGGGCTTGGGGTCATCAGGCAGAGATGCTCAGAGCACAAGCCTGTCCCTTCCTCATCATGCCACACCACGGGCCGGACAAAAAGGACCCTGAGGGCTGTGGTCCACCGCGCTCCCTTCCTCTCTGGCAGTTAGTCGTCACCACATCTCACTGAAGACCTGTGGCTTCTGATTTGCTAGCGGCATGAAAACCAGTTTTGCAACCTAAAGAAGTTCTACTGGGATTGCAAAGCTACTGTTTCTTGGCAGGGAAGTGGAGAGGCTCTGTGCAAGGATTTAGCACCCCAGCTGTGGATAAAGCTGTGAGAGAAGAGGAAGCCAAACAGTAGGCTCCAAACAGGGCACCGAGGCTGCCTAAATAGAGCAGGCCCTTAAAAAGCAGGCCAGTGAGTCACAGATTGCCTCAGATCCCTTGCTCAGTAACCCCATCGGCTGGTATTTTAAAGTCAAGCTGTTTACTGATACGTGTATACTGTATAGACTGTATAAAGTCATACAAATATTTAAGAGAAAGAATGAATTGCATCATTCACCCAAGGCTCCCAGCTGTTCCCTCATCTTCCCACACCCCCTACAGGATCACTCTCAGCAGCTCTTATCCTGGAGCTTCGAGAGCCAAACAGCTCCTTTCTAGAATGATTTAGACACAAAGCCCTACTGGCCACACCCTGGAATGAGAACCAAACAAAACCAGGAAGCCAAACAATTGCTTTCACATGCTAGGGTCCCAGGAGAGTAGAAGACGGTGCAGGTCAGTGGAGCCCAGGCCAGGGGAAGCAGGGGCTTGCGGCCAGTGGGAAGAGGGCAGTGAGCTCATCACCCCTCACACCATCAGTACTCCGCCTTCTGTTCCACACAGCATCCAGGATAGGTATCAAGGACCCATGGCTGGATCCTGAACACAAACCTCAGGATGCTCACAACGCAGAACGTATTTGCACCAAGCCTTGTGTCTGCAGAGGTTTACTCATCCAAAACATCGGAAAGATTTTAGGGTACTCCTCTGATAACCACAGAGGAGAAAGTAGAAGCGTGAGAGGTAGCAGACACTGGTGCTCCTCTCGACACTTGATCTTAGCCAGAAGGCAAAGAGCGATTGTAGTGCTCCTCTTTGAAGGGACACAGGTGAAAAGCACCACAGGGGAAATGCAGCGAAGGCAGGACTGCTTCTACCTGCCGCCCACACAGAGCCGCCATGGCCTCTAAGCTGGGAAACACCACTTGGCTTTTCCTTAGTTTAAATTTAAAAAGTCTTGAAAACTCTTTGGTGTGAGGAAGTTCACACTAACGCAGAGGAGAAAGGGATGAACTGCTACCCAGGCTGCACAGTGGTCTGAAGGTTATGCCGGAGTCTTGGAAGGGAGGGGCTGAATAATTCACCTATTCATTAAGGTTTATGGGTGTGTATCATTATAAATTAAAATCAGTATTAACCACATTCATGTCAAACATCAAACTTGCATAATGTTGTAATGCAATGTTACTTCAGTAAGAAATTATATATTAAAATAATGATGGAAAGTCTTTAGTTGCACTTAAAATCTCTTTAGCTATGGGCCTAAGTAGATTCTCAAAGGAGTAGATACTGAAATTCAGGACTGGTCATCAGAGACCCGAGAGAATGCTCACAAACAGCCCTTCTCTGATTTTTTTTCTTTCAGAAGTAAACAAACATCTTTAGTATTAACCAAGGTTCCCACTTGAGCTGAATGTGCATTATTGAGACCATTAATACCCAATACGATCCGTGTGCACCTTTTACTCTGTCATTGTAGGAAGTCAGGCATTTTCACTGGGGTTTTCTTTTTTCCTGAAGTCACCTGAAATAACTAGCCCCTATCCTTAGGTCATCTGCAATAACCTGTGATGCCTGTTAAGAAATAAAGAGTACTCAATTCACCCTAGATCTACTTATGTCACTGTGATTCGTAATAACGTATTTGTTCTCAGTCCACTTTCTGGACAGAGCTCCAAAATACCTTGAAACTTCCAAAGTGGTGAGAGTGACATATGTGCATCTGCTCTGTTGACAAGGTAACTTTTGGAAGTCACCTATAGATAGGGGCTGGCTGTCAGGAGAACCCACCACATGATTAGAAGACTGAAAAACGCAGATCCACCCCAGACCTCCAGAGAGGGGAGAGGAACTGGAGGTTGAATCAACTGCCAGCAGCTAGTAAATTAATCAAATGTACCTCTGTCATGAGTCTCCATAAAAACCCAAACGGTAGGGATGGAAAGCTTCCAGGGCTGGGAACCACACTGCCTCTATATGCCCCCTGCCCCAACACCATGAAGACAAAAGGTCCTGTTTGAGACCTTGCCCAATGTAACAATTCATCTGACTGTTGATTCTACCTTTTAATATCCTTTGTAATTAATTGTGAAGCTAGTAAATAAATGGGTTTCCTGGTTTCTGTGACTGGCTTTAGCAAATTAATTGAACCCAAGGAGGTAGCTTTGGGAACCTTGGGTCTGAAGCCAGGGATCTCCTGGACTTGCAATGGTGTCTGCAGTGGAGGGTGGCCTCACAGACCAGAGCCCTTAACCTGTGGCAGCTGATGCTATTTGCAGGTAGATGGTGTCTGAACTGGGCTGGACTCTAAGACAAGTTGGTGCCTGGAGAACTGCCTGATGACCTGGAAGAAAACCTCCCACACTAATGGGAATTGGGTACAAAACCAACAGATTTATAAATCAGAAATCTATGTGCTAGTGCCCTGGAAGGCTCTTATCATTACTGCATTTAGTCTTCACCAGGATCTGAACAAACAATACTGTTTTCCTCATTGAAATAGGAAGCAGATTAACTTGTCCAACGTTGCTAACTAGGTGATGAAAGGGCAGAGATTTGGGGCTCAGGGCAAATACAAAACAATGTTACACACTGACCTACTCAGCTATGTGCTGCCTGTTATGTGTGGAAACTTCTCTTTCACTCACTTTTATACAGCCTATACTATTAAAAGGATAAGGGGAAGATTCCATAAAGCACTAGTGGCAATAAATCTAAACTTACGTATAGCTCTTTACATAATCCAGTCCCACTTGGGGTCCTGTGTTCTCCCTGGAGGAGGGGCCATGCCAGCCCCTCCTAGCACCATAATAAAGAAGTCAAGCACCTGGCAGCTGCCCCAGGGAAGGGCAGCTCTGAGGGTAAGACTGCGTGACCCAGCAGGAGAATCTGAGGCTTTCCTTAAAACGCCAAGTTAGATGATAAACTCTACATACAACCATTTGGCCTGTTAAGAAGTGAGAGATTATCTAAAATAAATCTGTTCAAGAGGAAAGGAAGTCATATATACTGTGGATACACACAGAACACAGCATACAAAAGCATCCTAAGCTTAAGCACTCTTGGTTACAGGGATTAAAAATCAACTAAAACAACTCCTGAGTTACAGTTACATCTCTAATACCAATTCAGTCAGCTGAGAAATTCAAGGTGATTGATAGCTCCGTTATCAATCCTACAGGTCACTAGCTTACATCCTCACTAGGATGTGCTCCCTCGGCTTCCTTCCCACACTACAGCGGAACACATACTCCTGCCTCCAGTGAGTGAACCTGACAGCCTAGATTCAGGCTGCATCCTGCTTCCAGTCTTCAAGGCAGGCATGTCCTCTATGCTGAACACCTTTGGTTCACTGGGTTAGCCATTCCCACCTGTTCTGTCTGTGGGACTCACAGGAAGACCCGGTTGGGTAGGACATGGGAAGCAGGGACTACAACCTTCTTCGCTATTTCTAGATGACATTTCTGGATGCAGAGGATTACTAGTCTAATTCAAAATGACTTCAACTTTATTTGCTGCCAGAAAAGTTTTACTATTCATTGAAAAGTTTTAAAAGCGCTAAACTTCAAATACCCATGATAAAGGAACACAGGGCTACATGCATCCTAAGTCATTCTTAAAGACAATTAGGCCAACATGGGGCTGACGCATCAAGATTTGCCCAGACTATAAGCAGGAGGCCATAATTACCTGTCTCTCCCCACAGCGAGTCGGTGCCATTGACGTCTATTTCATGTTCCTTTTCCAGCCCCAGCAAGCACTGGACCACCTGTCAGAAGTGGCAAGGTGATTTAATGAGTCCCTACAGCCATATGTGCTTATTATATCCATGTATCAAAGCAGACACTTGTTTTTTAGCCATGATTATCTTAGACTGCACAAGGGGAGAAAATATAACGAAAACCAATTCAAATGCTATTCACACTTACACTTGAAGAATTTTTTAAAAAACCCAAGAATTTCAGCAACATTGTTCAGGATTACCAGGTACTCACAATTCTAATGAATTTCAACATGACCCAAATATGCCAGCCTAATCAACAAAGGACACGGGCGATGACGCAAAGTGCAGTTTTTGCATAAAATACCAGAGAAGTGAATCCATTTTTCCACAAGGGAGAAAAACAAGGTGATGTGTATCTTCAATAAAATGTAAGATCAACAGTGTTGTCCAGATGATTTTTTAACTGACAGCATTTTCTTTTCTGTACTTGAGCCTTACCAGTCAAACAGCAGGTTGGGTCACAGGTGTGGAGGCAGCCCCAGTCCCTGGGGGATACATGTACCTGCGCCCTGAACCAGCACCCACCCTGCCAGCTGTGGAGTCAGAGAGGAGGAGGGAGCTGGCCTCTCAATGTGCACTTTTTGTAGCTAACACCCCCCACATACCATGGCCACATCCGACCCCAGAAGCCTGTAAAACATACTTTATATGAGGCAAGAGGAAATTTGTAGGTGCATTCGTGCATTTTGGTTCGGGAGGACTGCTTTGAATTAGGGAAGTGTCTAGCTCACATACACACCTGACCGCATGGATCTGGGGGTGAAAGGGGAGATGGACGAGAGCAGCTTTCATTGGCTGTGCTGAGGTCGTCTGCACAGCAGTCCTCCCCCAGCTTTAAATCAAGATGCAATGAACCTGAAGGAAGACAAAGGTCCCTCCCTGCCCTTTCTAAATGGCTTTTCATATTCTGGACACACATTTAACAGTTAAAAACATCTGTATTTCCAGATATGTGTATTTAACAGTCTCTGTGTGTCTTTGTATATGGGCATTAAAAATATGTCTAGTTCTATGTTAAGGTAACAATAAGCCCATGTGTAACATGGTAACATTTAACACTCTGGGTATGAGTTTCTACACTAGAATGGATATATGTGTAAGTTCTCTGGCATTGTTTTTGTATTTCTGCAAATCTTTCTTTATGCCTGTCTTCCTAGAAGACAGCTGCATTCTCTTATACTTATGCTTCTGCATCAAATTGTTGCCATAAACTCTACTTGACAACTGTGTTTTTAGAAAAAGCAAGCCAGCGAACAGTGTGCACACACATATGCATGTGGCTGTCCTTGTGTTTTAAATGCTAAAAGCCAGCCATCGGCTTAGCACTCAAGTATAAGTTATCATGGGGGAAACGTCCCCCAACACCATCAACTGTTATTCTGAAGATAATACTCAGTGAGAAAACCAGGGGAGGGAGCAGGTAAATGTACTGAATTTGCAGACACACAGGTCAGGAGATGACAATTAAATCTTCAAACTGAGGAACACTGACATCTACCAGAAGTGCTGTGCTTAACTACTGCATGAAGTTTTCCTTCAGAGTAGGAAATGCAAATGACAAGCATCCTTACATGTTAGCAGAGCACTGAAGTTCTATTTTTAAAAATCCTTCAAATATTCAAGAACAAATTTAGACTTAGGATTCCATGTGATTATTTTTAAAAGATCACAAGCATAAAAGAATGAGTCCCTTCCCCAACTATCCCCCCTCCCCTTACAAAAAAAGAAAAATAGATGACAGCAGGGCTAGAGGGTAAAAATAGAAGTGGGAAGAACGAAAGACAAGGGTGAGCAGGGCATGAGGACCACGGAATGGCTGCCTGTGGGCACAGCACCTGGCAGCAGGCACGCACAAGGCAGTTTGCATGCCCTTGTATTTTAACCTGGTGGGGAGGGTGGACATCAATAGATTTTTGCCCCTTAAGTCAACTGCTCTATCTTGAAATCTTCCTTTCCTCTCATTTGTTTGGCTCATCATAGACTATTAATTGTGAAGGTAAGACTGAAAAAAGCATCTGAACAACTGGGCTTCCAGTGTCCCAAGAAGGCACCTGGCAGCCTCCACTCACCGAGCTGTGGCCCATGCTGGCGGAGGCCGTCAGTGCCTGTTGCAGGGCGTGGCTCTTCCTCGGTGGCCCTGGCTGGGGAGGACCCGCCGACCACTCACAGGTCAGCAGGTAGCGGAGGATGTCACCATGGCCCCTCAGTGCACTATGCACCAATGCGCACTGGCCTTTCTTATCCAAATGGTCCACCTGGGGGAGAGGCAGGAAAGGGTCACAGTTTAGGATTGCCCTTCCTCTGAGAACGCAGGACACCACCAGTGCTGGCTGAGAACCTCACCCACTGTAGATGAACATGTGTACCTCACAAAGATGCACAGGCAGCCCTGAGAGGCAGCAGACAACCCACGGTTCCCCGGCCACACCTGGGCAACAGCGGGCCCAGCTCAGGTCAGCCACACCTTTGCTTGCAAATGAGTGCTATCACCTCACCTGGAGGCTTTGTAAGAGTCACCTGCATGATGCCAGCCCTCTGCCTACAGTGCTTTTAGCTGTGATGGTAGGGGCCCTGCCAGCCTCAGAAGCAAGCCAAGTCATATCTGGGTACAGAAATGATGGGGTGGGGAGGTATAGTGACGCACCCACTAAAGGGCTTCACAGCAACATTCGTTTCCTCCAGGAGCTGAAGTTCATCTGACTCAATGGATTTTTCATTGAAAAAACAAGAGGCCCTCCCTGGCGGGTTAAAGCACAGCACTAAGATGCTTAAGCCACTTCCGCATGAGTTCAATTCCCGCCTGCCCTGGTGGTGACCACATGGCATGGCAGACCTCTCCTGACCCGCCCGCTGCTCCCCTCAGCAGTGTACTTTGATCATCTGCCTGTTCTGCGCCCCACTCTGTCTCTGGTGAATCCTCTCACCCTCCGCATCTCTGGCCTGTACCCCAGTTCTGTATGAATAAATAAATCTTAAAAAAAAAAAAAGAAAAAACAAGAGACTCCGTAGTTATTCTAAAGCCTAATATCTTTCAGTTCAACTTTAATCCTAATAAACTATAAAGATGGTAGACACGCATCTGTGATTTCTTTCTTTTGTTACTGGAAAGCACATTCTCTCTAACCCCCACTGCGCCCCATGAAACAGTATATCTAAACAGTTTCTCACACGCTCAGTTGAGGTCTTTTGCCATTGATAGTTCTCACTTGTTGAATAGGTAATTCACATTAATGTTAAAATATTGATTAATTTAATGCTCAAACCCTGTGGTAGCTACTGCTGTTGTGCTCATTTGACAGATGAGACATTTGACAGATTTGAACTGATGAACAGACAATAGCTACTCAACCTGAAGTCCTAGCTTGGCAAGTGGAAAAATAAGGATGACCACCGTTTGGCTCCTACAGCCAGGCACTCAAAATACATGGCTTGTAAGACTGAATAAGCTCATTTTATTTTTCAAAATGAGACATGAAATAAAATAGGATAAAAAGAGAATGGTTAAAATAACCACGTTTTTAAAACTCTTTCAGCCAGTCCAGCGCCACATTAAATTCTCAGATAGTTCCAGGTCCTCACTTGCAGGCTTTTTAAAGAATGGCCTGAAACATGTCACTGGTGCCAGGAGGTTCCCTGAGCTCCACTTCCCTTGGAAGTGTTGAGCAGGTTAAGAACTAATGAACAGAACACACACCCCTCTCGCCTCTGCAGGGCTGTGCACCCAAACACCCATCTCAGGGACCTCATGCTCACAGCAGCCTGCCTACCCCCCCTTGCTGACTATGTGCTGATGTTGGATCATGGCAATTCGACCAAGCATGGGCAGGAAGACCTGCCCAGGCCACGAGGATTCCAGTGAGATGTGAAAATACTCCCTCCTCCCCCACAGCAGAAAGGGCAGAGCTTACCCTCGCCCCCTTCTTGGCCAGGAGGCACACCAGCTTCATGTGGCCAGCAGCTGCGGCATAGCACAGGGCCGTCATGCCATTCTCCGACATTCCATCCAGGCAAGCGCCAAATTCCAAGAGCAGAGTGACCACTTCCTCGTGGCCGAGGTGAGACTGGACACACAGGATCGGGGCATTGTTTAACACTTCTGTCCTGTAGTTCACGTTGGCCCCTCCCAAGATCAGGAGACGGCTCACCTGTTGGATAACATCCCCCAACAAGATTAGTTTGCACATAAACACTTAAGGAGAAAGGCAGTCTCTTTAATTTCTGTATTCTCGTTGTCATGCAGTGGTTCTCAAACCTGGTGTATGCCAGCATCACCTAGAAATGCACTAAAAATGCATTCATGGTGGTGGGAATATAAAATGGTGCCATTGCTGTGAAAACCGCATGAAGGGTTCTCAAGAACCACCAATTCCACTTCAGGGTATACATCTCTCTGTAATCTTCAGGGAACATATTCTAAGACTCCCAGTACATGTGTGAAACCGTATAAACCATGTACTCAATTTTACCCTTTATATATGTGCCACTGATAAAGTTCAATTCTTATATTAGACACAATAAGAGATAAACAACAATAACAAAATCAAACAACTGTACTACTGTAATAAAGGTTATACAAATGTGGTCTCTCTCAAAATATCTTGTTGTATAACATTTTTTGGACTGTGGTTGACCACAGGTAACTGAAAGTGTGGAAAGAGAAACCCCAGAGGAGAGAAATTGCACATTCAAAGGAAATGGAACAGGACCCTGCGCGATACCTGCACTCCTGTCTTCACGGCAGCGCCATTTCCAACAAAGATGTTCGTTGATGGTTGACAAGACAAAATGCAGTAGGAACATACAATGGACTATCACACAGTCCTCAGGAAGAAGGAAATCCTGTCACACACTATAACACAGGACAACCTTGAGGACACTATGCTAAGTGAAATAAAGCAGCCCCAAAACAACAAATACTGTAGCCTACAAGTACGCAGAATTCTAGAGTATTCAAACTTGCAGAGACAAAAAATAGAAGGGTGGCAGCCAGGGGTTGGAGGGAGTGGAGCTGAAAATTGTTTTCATGAGCACAGCGCTTCAGTTGTGTGAGAAGAAAAATGTCTGGAGACTATTACTAAAGCATATTCCCCAGCCCCTCTCGCTGGATTCTGATTCAGCAGGGATGGGCTCGGACCTGAGAACAAGCACTTGTCACAGACTGCCCGGCCATACTGATGCTCTTGGTCTGGGGAGCATTTTGAAAAAAATCACTCATCAGGACAATAGTAGAAACATTTTATTCTAGCCATCATTAATAGTGAGCTAACAAAACCAAAATCAATATAAACACTTTCTTTTTCTGTATAAAAAAGTGTACCTGTTAAGAAAAGGCAGAACACCTGAAAATGTTCATGTGGTCGTGGGACAGTCAACAGCACAAGACTCCTTAAAATCCTGGTTTTTTTCCTACTAAATGCTATATCCACCTCCCAACTATAATCTTCAGATCCAGATTTCAGAGCAAGTTCTTTACCTACAGATTTAAATTAAAATCAAGGGCTACCATATGCAAATTTTGCTACTCTGTATCTTCTTCAAATCTCCAGATCACTGAAAAAAATAAAAAATATGACATTCCTTAAAATACCTGTGGAGTCACCCACTGCATTTCTCAGAGTTCCCTTCAACGCTCCTGACCAACATCTATCACTCCTGTCAGCTCCTGGAAGATCTCCAGGCTGCCTACAAGATGTGAAAACCAGAGACCGTGTCATGTATTTGACCAGAGAGACACAGGATCATTAAAAGATAGGGCAAGAAGCCAAGGCACACAAAATTCAAGGTATTCCAATGATATGCAACCACAAGGAGCAGCTGACAGAGTATTTACAAACTGATGGAAAAATTAGTAGGTGGCAACACCACAGATCAACAATGAGACAAGCAGGCAGGCAGGTTGGAATCTAAAGTGTGTATCTGAAGAGGTCTCGGTTGCTGGGGGAGCTGGCACCCTCCTGGCCAAGTCCTCCCGCTCCCTCTCTGATCTTCTCTCCCAGCATCCTTCCGCTTGCTTCTCTCTTGCCAAACCCGCCCCCCCCACTGTGTGTCACTGTGGGTCTGCCTGTCACAACCTCAGCAGGCAGGCCCCAGCCTGCTGACCTTCACCCTGTAGTTTTATCTGCCAGGAATGCCCTTTGCATAAATACAGCTGATTAAGAATCACGTCCTATGTGTCCCTGTGCCAAAGCTAGGACACGAGTGAGAAGTCATCCTGTCTTATGTAGGAGACTCCCACCCTTCCTCACACACACATCCCATTGCAGCACACACCTGCATTCATTCATCAAGCCCAGGTTCTCTATTCCTGCACACTCTCCACTCAGCCTAGTTCACAGCACCAGACAACATCAGAGGGGACCATCTTAGTCCCACCCAGCCAAGCATCAACCACCACCTCCAGCCGCCTCCACCACCCAGCACCAGTGGATGGAAAAGCAGAAAACACACTACACCAGTGGAAAGTTAGAAAAGGCATCCCTCAGACTGACATTTAGCACAGGACCATGGGTGAACAACCTAATCTCTGTCAACCTGCTCCACCATCCACATAGGTTTGCTCTTAAAAACAGAACCAGTCTTGGATATGATACAAAGTATTTAAAAATTTAAGTGTTCATCAAAATTGTTTTCTAAAAAGTTATTCCTTTTCAGGAACTACCTTTTCTATACAAAGACTACAACAATGGTAATGAAATTTGGGGGATTTTACCAAAGCCTACAAAATCTGTTCTCAGTAAGAGGAATACAAAATGCTCGTCATTTTTTTTGAAATTTGCATAACATAACCGAAGGGCAAATTAGAGTCTGGTCACCACAGAGCAGGCAGAAACAGTCTGGAAATTCCCTGAGTGACTTTGACGGCCTGACTCCTCTCCCCTATCCATCAATCCTATCAGATTCACAAGTCTAAGAAAACAGTGATGGCTGATGTTTCCCACCAGCCCTCTGAATAACATGCTGTGTGAGTCTCAGCAAATTGCTCAAGTTCTCTGTGTTTCAGGTACAGTCAAGAAAACAGCTATGTGCTTTATCCACTCAGTACTTTGCCAATAATGTTGGCACGTGCGCTTTTAGTACTTGCTGAATACCCCACAAGACGATTCCTAGCAGATATGTGCTCAGGGGCAGGCCTTCCCTGAATATGTTCATCAACAATCACATTCACCTACTTCTTGAGAAAAAACTGTTGTCTCTGTTGGTACAATGCAGCACATATTTTTACCACTCAGCCTCATCTCAGATTGCGATCTTATCCCAGCCCATGTTTCTTAACCCTGCTACATCTGAAGCCACCTGGGAGCGTCAAAGTTTCCAGCACCTGAGCTCCACCCTCGGGAGATTCTGACGTGGGTGAGGCACGGAGAGTCCCAAGTGATTGTCACTGGCAGGTAGGGCTGTAAACACCTCAATGATAAAGTGCATCTTCAGAGCACCCTGCCAGCTGTGTGATTTGGGGTAAACTGCTAATGCCTCACTCAGCCTTAGTTTCCTCGTTTCAAAAGTGAAGTCAAGGGCAGCTTCACTTCTTTGGGATGCTGTGAAGATTAAAAATGAGTGTGCCATATACACATACCACTAGCACAGTCCTCAGCATTCTGTAAGTGCTAAGTAAGTATTAATTGCTAGTGTTACTATCATGTCTCACGAAATCATTTAGGAAAGAGAGTCCAGGTCCCTGGCCCCCGCGAGGCACAGCAAAAAGCACGGTCCCAGGTGCCTCGTGACTTGGGTCTTACCCCCCTGGGTTCACCAGCACAGAGCAGCAGAGAGACCCCAGGCTTATTTGAAGACAGCATGAGTCACTGAGAGCCCATCCACGCCTCGTGGAAGGCAGCTGCACTCAACAACCTCCAACAGGCACATCCAGAGTGCTCCCGTGCTTCTAGATGAGTCACCACTGTTTCCAGAAAAGAGGCAAAGCACTAATAACATGGAGTACGTGCCAAGTAATTTTCCAGGGGTTTTAAAGCCTCAAGTGAGGTCTCCCGCTGTTCTTCAGTTCCTTCATTGCTCAAAAGACAGAGCAAAGAGGGAAAGCACAGGCCAGCTCTGCACCAGGCTCACCACTGCCCTGGGCAGTCTAGAGGCAGAGCTGCAGCTCCAGCAGAAGTGGCTCTGACTCCAGGAAGCGCTTTACATGTCCACGCTAGACGGTATCCCCCAACCACATGGAAATTTTCCTCTCATCAGCACCGAAACCGCTCTCATTAGATAACATTTACTGGCAATATTGAGTATAAAATATTGGATTTAATGAATGTAAGAAAGTGAGGTAAAGGGCAGCCAAAGTGACAGGGTCACGAGGAAGTCAGGCCAGTGCAGCCCAACTGTGGGAGCCTCGGTGTCTGGGTGAGTATCCGCAGCGGTTCACATCAATACAATCCTCGTACAATATGCAGAGCGACGTGAAGCCAAAATCCTCCCTGCCCTTGACTGAGGAAAAAGTCAACTTGAATCTCCCCAGCCTTGAGAAGCAGAGGCTGGCAGACAGTGGATGTGAGCAAAACAACCAGGTGGCTGGGCACCTAGAGGCCGGGGCCCAAGGGACCAGCCAGGGCCAGGCGGGCACGACCCTGACCTGACAGTGGGAGCCCCACTGTCAGCAATCACTGGCATGCCATGGAAATGAAGATCCAAGTAATCTACTAGATAATCAACCCTGAGCAAGTCACTTTAATTTACCAAAGTGGCAAACTGCAATTATTGCTTAAAATGACATTCATTCCTGTATGACAACATTTAATGCTCTCTAAAAAAGGTCCCTTAATTGCATGCATAATTTTAAATTACTGTAATTTGTTCAAGATTCTGTGAAAACCTTTTTTTTCTTTTGAAAGATAAAAGAAACAAAGATAATAGGGAGTCTTAAAACTCTATAGCTAAGTTAAATAATTCTGGGATAGTATAGATGTAGGTCATTCTGGAGTTTCTGCAAACACAAAGTAAAGATGAATTACTCTTCGAACGGCATGTATGTTAAAGAGAAAAGTTTATAATCCCAGGAGGGTCAAGCTCATTACTTTATTACTCCATACATTTTAATTTATTGTCTAGAAAGCTCATATTCAACAGAGCGCCACGTTTTCTATTTACTTTATTCCACATTAAAATAATCCTGTGCCAGAGTTCATTACATTAGTGAAAACAGATAGTACCGTTTCTGTTCGTGTTTCTTTCTTCCTTGCTATCATTAGTTTTATTAACTTTGGAAAAATCAAAAGATATACTTTAGCGGAAAGGAATGATAAAATGACATTATAACAGTAACTGGGACTTCTTCATTACGTGAAGGTTAATAACAACTCAGCCCTTTTCTCCACCTTTCCTTGGAGTGATGCCATCTATAAAGCTCCCTTCTTTGATCAACAGCAACAGCTGGGACAGTATTCTAGAACTATAAAAACCAGGTTCCCTATGCATCCACCCCCATGGGGCTCGGCTGGGAGGCAAGCATTCCACCCTCAAATCCAGAGACTGAATGAAAATGTACAAGAGAGCAGGCAGATGCAAGGCCTGCCAGGAGCTTCCTCTGGACTGCGCTGCTCTCGGGCAAGTCCCCAGTGTGCCTGCTGCTCATCAAGCCTGGAGCCCTAGTGGGGGCTGAATCTACCTGCACAGAGTGGCACTTTTATCTTTGCAAAACTCCTGTCTGCACCCACCTGGGGGTAGTGGCCTTTCTGTAATCAATACAGAGCCCAGCACTTGTGGACCCAGGCTCCTCAGTCAATGTCATCCTCTCCCCTCTATACAGGAGCAAGTGGAGATGTAATGGACAGCATGGTGACTGCGGTAAGATTGTGTGGAATGTTTTAAAGTTGCTAAGAATGATCTTAAAAACTTTCATAAGGCAAACTTGTAATAATATATGATGATGGATGTTAATAGGTCTTACTGGGGTGATCCTTTTGCAACCTATACAAATATACAAGCTTATTAGGAGCTAGACCTGAAACAAATCTAATAGGTGAATTACATCTCAATTTTAAAAAGAAGAAATACCTGGAAATCAGGGGTGAAAAGAGGTGGCAGAGCACACACCTGCTAGATGTGGGAAAGTGCGCTGGAAGGCAAGACCCGCATACACACCCCAGGTGAGGGTTCTGAGGGCTGGAGTTGAGACCACAGAGGGGTGGAAGAGTAGGAAGCCCTGGGAGTGAAGGTGCCATCTCTGGGGTATGAGGTCCCCTTCCAGATGCATCTGAGGAGCCAAAGTGAGGAGAAGTAGAAGACAGATGTCCTTGGGCTAATCCCGGTGCTTTACAGGGGGAACAGGGTTGATCATTTTCAGATGGAAAACAGTAAACTGAAGGGAAGACCCACTCTTTGGAAAATACCTGATAGCTTCTGCAGGCAGCAGGGGCAGCAGCTGAGCAGAGTCTGGGGCAGAAAGGCCTGGAGTTTAACAGCAAGGAATCTCTAAATCAGGAAGACACTTGCAACCTAATTTCACTTTGCACTGGAAAAGATGGCTATAAGCTGCTACAATGTAAACCAGTAATTCCCAAACTCTGTGGAAGTCATCCTTTCTTTGCTGCATTAACATACTTGGCCACTGTGTGCCTTATACTCTTAGATTTAATTAAATGAGGAAGCAAAACATACCCTAAAATGGTCATTTGAGTATTACGACATGATTATACTGGCCAAGAGTAAGGAAGCTCTTGGCTCACTGGCAGGTTGGCCCTGACATACTTTCTAAACTCATAAAGACACACGAACACAAAACCTTCAGAAACGGTTTTCCTCTGCAGACCCATGGCTTCGTGTCACTCATCAATGTTTATTTTCCTATGACCCATAAGAATACTGTCTGGATTAGAAGCCTGGGACACAATTTTGAAAAATCAATTTTCTTGGAAAACTCCCTCTGACCTTTGGTTTCCTTTGTGAATTGCTTCCTTATCACATCTGCTCCTAAACAGTCACCAAGTGCTCACATATCAACCCCGACCAACCACATCTTCCTGCCTGAGCAAAAGCTAAGCTCCTAGAAGAGAGCCCATAATAGAGAGCCCATAATAACAGCCCATAATAGGGCATTTCTGTGTGATACAGAAACACATCAGGGAAAAAGCATCAATACGCCTTTCTCCATGTCCAGCCACCACCAGGGAAGGAGTCCTGGGAGGAATGGCCAGGGGCCGTGGCTTTGCTGCATGGTCAGCACTCACCTTCACATTGGGAGTGTAGAGATTCCTGAGCGAGGCGAGGGCCGCAGACAGCCCCTCGGTGCTGTACCCAATCCACAGGGCTTGGAGATGGCTTGATGAGACTCCCGTCTTCTTACTAAGCCCCTGGAAGCAATCAGACTAATCAACCTCAACATCCTTTCGCATCTGCAGTGGTCTGAAAGTGGTATGGCCCGGAGGATGCAGCCAAGTGCCTAATATGTGGCAAAAGTTGTTCAATGTGCAAGAATGCCTGTACCTATGAGCCTCCTGCCCAAAAGCCAAGGGTCAAGGAGTCAGCATGCTTGAGTTACATAACTTTGTAGCTGGGGAAAGATACGGCAAGAGATGAGAAAGTTTTTCCTTACCGAACTGTTCTCCAGTAAATTAAAAGAAGGCTACATGGCAGAGAAACCCCTACTGAATGCATGTATCTAGGCAGAGATGGTGGCAGCTGACAGCACCGAGAGAGCAAGCCAAGTGGGATGCACTCTGATGCAAGAAACTCAGAAAAATCTGGAGTTTAAAACTAAGCTTAAAAGTGATGGCGCCATTTTGCCCCTCAACAGGGGTGGAAAAAAAAAAAAAATCAAACCTGAATCCAGATACAACTACCAAAGGATAGGAAATCCAAGGAAAACAGATACATGTTAAACTAGGCCATGAGAAAAAAGGACACCATGAGAAAATCTAAGCGGAACAAAACAACACAGGTCAAGTACCCAGGTCCTTTGACAAATAAGGGAATCTTTAGATCACAAAAAAAACTTTAAAAGATTTAAAGGAGAACAGTTAAAGCTACCCATTAGCATTCAGATACACAGTAGAGTGATAAATTATAAAGAAATGCGAGGAAATTATTACAAGCCAGCGCAGTGGCTACTTCTGGGGATGGTATTTCCCGTGGGCCTGCGGAGGGCTTATTGACGTTGAAGAAAGTCTCCAAAACTGGACATTCGAAATGACAATAAGCCGTCAACAACAAATCCCTCATTGCAGTGTTGTGTCTCACCTTGAAAATGTGTGCCTTCAGGATGTGATGGCCGAGCTCCATAGTCTGCTGCCGGTTCAACTTGCCCTCCTGTCGAGAGAACATGAACGCCAGGAGCGCGTGCCCATTCCTAGAATGAGAAACAAGAAGCCGGTGATGGAGACGCCACTCCCATGGCCCTGGGGTGTGCAGGCCGCCACACTGCCCTCTCAACTGCTCCCCGGCAGCACCACCAGGCAAAATGGGGGGAAGCTCCCTTTACAAGATGTGATGCATGCTGCTTATTCTGCAAGTCATTTTAAGAGCTTTGCCTGGATTCCACCATCTCTGTGGAGTGAAGCAGAGAGAGGCCCAGGAAAGGGCAGGACTGTATCCTTGGAGCTACCCACCCCCGCTCTTCACCCATCCCTCCCTCTTCACCTGACTTGCTGATTTATGGAGATCTGAAGGCTTGTCTAAACCACAGCTACAGCCATAACAGTGAACAGATGCCCCACACTTAGCAGTGACTTAAGTATGTATTTCTTGAATGAACAGAACTACCACTGAGCCAGGCACTCAGGCCCTCCCTCAGCAGATCCTGTGCCAAAGGACAAGGCTTTACAAAGGGAAGGAAAGTAAAACCGCCGTGTATTCCAACAGTGCATGATCAGCAGCACTTAGCAGTCCGGGCTTGGTAGGGCACATAGCTACCTGAGTGGGGAGGACCTAACATGGATGAGTGGGCCTGCCATGTGTCGGGACATCCCACTGACACTAGCAATTAATCCAAGCTAATCCTTTCAAGGGGCCGTCGGTGCACTTTCACCTCCACACGTGCAGGGATCCTTCTTTCTCCTTGGGGACTCCACCTATGCCTTTGCCTGCGCCAGTTTTTTGTTTGTTTGTTTTTTCCTAAGGGTGCTAAGGGCTGCTTAATCCAACAACAGAGACTTCAGCCCAGTGTGAATTATTTTGATTTCTATGAACCTGGCAACTCTGAGGTAGTGATTTGTTGAGGAAAAGCAGGCAATTCCTAATCTGGGTGATTAAAAGCATGAATCATTTAAATTGTATTTACCTATGCAGAGGCATGCCTGTTTCTCAAAAGTTAAAAACCATGTTAAAATGAGGAAATGAGGATAGGTGGAAATCTAGAGATTGCTTTTTGTATGTTGGGGAAGGCATGACTTTAAAGGCCATGCTACAATTCAGTGTCCCATCCAATGTCCTGGAAGGGTCTGGATCTCTCTATGGGCGCAGGCCACCCCTAGACCACCAGCCTGGTTTTTCCCTCAGATGAGTCTCCACATCCCCACCTCTGCAGCTACCTTACTTAATGGAAACTGTTCCAATATCCACATCTTCCCCAACCTGATTGTTGGAGTCCCACAGTTCAAAACCCAGCCCAAATCACTCTTTCAGGCCACTTCCAACTAGCCATCTTCACTCTCAGGCTTGGCCACATTGTGCCCGCTACAAAGACATACTAAGCTAAGGGTGGCTGGGAACTGTGCCAATACCATGAGCTCAAACTACTGAAAACCAAACCAGTTTTTTTTCTGCAAAACCAGCACCACCATGCTCCCCCCTTTTACCCTTTCTAACAGGAACACCAACCACAGTTTCTCAAGCTTAACACCCTGACTTCTGGCCCTCCTCCTGAAGGTTCACTCAGCCTTGAAGAATGAGGTATCCATAATGTGCCCAGCAAAAAAAGCAGGATGGTAATTTCAACACAGAAAAGATGAAATGAACTCTATTTGAAATACATGAAAACAGGCAAAAATGAAAAGCGAAACATCACATCACTGTCTCTGGCTGTTAGCATCTAGCGCTTGGATTTTTTTTTTCTTCTACTCTATAAATGAGGCAAAATTACAACTAGTTGGGGTGAGAGGAGAAATGCTTCCCCATCTGTCAAGGCCCAACCCAAAAGTCGCCATCTAGGTGAACCATTTCCCAGAAATGTCTCCCCCAACTGGAAGCTTCTCTCACTTTCCTAAGGCCCCCTGAGCAGTGCAGCTCCCTCCCAGAGTCTGCTCAGCAGACCTCCTGTGTGGGAAGCCCTGCAAAGCAAGCAAAGCAAGCGCTTGCCCCAGGAATCTCTGTGTCAGTCAGAAGAGTCCCCTGTGCATAGCAAGTCCACAAACACTTTGATGAACTGAATCCAGGCGCTTCCTTCCAATGTCATCTACACACGGTTTGCTCCAGAAGTGCAAGGACTATTACAGTCCTAGACAAATGCTGACTTGAACAATTCCATGAAGGGCCTCCTTACACTCGGAACCCGGGGCCTCAGCTGAGTCCTGGTCCTACTCCCCATCAGTCCCACACTGGCCTATAGGGACACATCAGCACTCAGGCGCCTGTGATTGTAGGTTATAAACTGAATGATCCATTAGTCATCCCACTCAGTTCTGCCCAAGGCTACGTAACATAAGGTCAACCTTGCACCCACACCAGAGGGCAGCTTAACTGTGACTATAATCTGATACTTCTGCCTCAAACCTCAATTATAAATCCACCCACATCCAAGTCTCTCACCTTATTTTTATGTTTCTACAAACTCAGCAGTAGCCTGTCTTCCTAAAAAGTGATATGATTTCTCTACAGATAACCTGCCTTAGTTAAATACCACTGCACAGTTATTATGGTCTGGCTACCTGAAATTACTGTTTATTGCCCCAAACCAGTTTCAAAAAGAAAGTTTCTGGTCTGGTGTCACCTAAGAAAATGACACTACCACAGCATGAAACGGCAGCTAGACTTGTTAGGCCAATGTTAGGTGGGGAGGAAGTTGGTGTGTGGCTCACAAGTACTTATTCTTTTCTTCATTTTTTTATACCACCATCTGGTCAAAGGCATAGTCTGGTGCTAAGGAGAGAGTTCACAGGTTGCCAGATGTGTTACAAGAGTCGTGAGCAATTCTGTCTCAGAGAAGCAGAGGCTGCTGGCCCAACAGGTTAGGATGAAGCACTGCAAGCCAGCCACAGCCACTTCAGTGCGAGTTCAATCCCCACCTCAGAGGTGACCACATGGTGTGGCAGACCTCTCTTGACCCCCCTGTTGCTCCCCTCAGCAGGGTACTTCATCGGTCTTCCTGTTCTGCTCCCCACTCTGTCTCTGGTGAATCCTCTTACCCCCTATGCACCTCTGGCCTGTATCCCAGTTCTGAATGTATAAATAATAAAAAAAAATCTTAAAAAAAAAAAAAAGCAGAGGCTGCTAACACAGCAAAGATGCATGCCAAATCAGGGTCAGGAGGAAGTGGGAGGCATGAGCATACCCTAATCTGAAGCTCCCACATCCTCCAATTCCTCAACTTCTCATCCTGTTTGGCACTAGGCAGGCCTCAGGCAGGCAGGCTTACTATACCGCCCTGCGCTGCAGGGGCAGTAAGGAGAAGCATACTGTGGCTACTGCAAGTCAGGGGAACCGTCCAATCCCTGGATACATGCACCCACCACCATCTTTGTAAATGGGGCATCTGAGATCAGAACCACAATCCTGCTGACAATGCATTCCTGCGTGTCACCCAAAGCTAAACCAAAAAAATCAAAAGGATGTGGCCAGTGGGACTGCTGTGCTCCCCGCTGGGCCCACAGGCCTGTCTTAACTCTGGGACAAGACGGTACATGCCCCTGCAGTAGTGGTGCAGCAGTGGTGCTGGGGCTCAAGACACCCAGATCACCAGGTGAAGAAACCAAGTTATGAACAGCCCCTAAGGAAGCTCACTGTCCCTGGAGCTAACATCACATTTTCTCACATAAAACCCCTGTGTGTGTGTGTGTGTGTGTGTGTATTGCAAGGGGAGGGGGGGTGTCAGAAATTATAGCAAAGAAATATCTAGTCATTGTCTGGAGTCCTTTTCATCTACATTTCCCGAGAAGGCCTAAACTTCCATTACTTAAAGGAGGAAAGCTTTTGTTTAGCAGCAGAGAGAATTTGCTATGTTCCCTCCTGAATTCATTCTGTGTTGCCCTTTCATTTAAGTGAATTGTGTTTGAAATCCCTTCCCCAGATGCACATTAGACTCCCTGCAAGGAGCTGACAGAAGCAGCCTGGTGTACCTGGGCTCACACAGGAAGGCCGTGTTTTCACCATCTGCTCTCCACACAAGCCACTCCCGGAAGGACGGGTGGCAGAACATGCGGGTTTTGTCTCGCCGCTTAATGAGGAAGCAGGAGAGGGCCTCCATCCTCTGCTGGAAGTCTTCCCATCCCTGCTCCCCTTGTATGTGGCCTGCATTAATAGCCTGGAAAATCTGCTCGTCCGTCATGGGGTGGAGGGATGCCAGGGTCACATTTAAAATTGGAAGGGCTCTCTCAAAGGCGGACTGGGTCATGAACTTCATGTTGCACTGTAGCAGGTAGAGCTCAGAGAGAGACACAGGCACCACCTTGTAGCTGGCACTTTTGATGACCAAGTGTCCTCTCTGGAAGAGATCCAAGGTGAGCTTGAGGTACAGGTAGGAGCCCAGACTGCGCAGCACCAGGTGGCTGCTCACTTTGGAGATGAGAGCAGCGTCCGCCTTGCCGTTGAGGGAGATGTTGCTGAGGATGTCCGGGCTGCTGCGCACCCGGTGCTGGACATAGGCGTGCAAGTCACTGTGAATGTCCTTGCTGTCGGGGAAGTCATCTAAGGAAAGCTTGACAAACGGCAGTGCACTTACAATTTCCTGCAGGGAAAAAAAAAAAAGACCCACAGTGTTAATCCACGGAGATTTTTTTCAAAAATTTCAGCAGTATTTCAAACTGGACCCACTAGCTTTCTTTCAAGGAGGATTTCTATGGATTACTGGGACTCTCTGTTTAGTATTAGAACATGTAATAGGATAAGTTAAAGATAAAGAGCTTATGTGAAAGAAATCCCAATGCAAGATAAAATCAAGGGAGGCTTTCCCAAGGCCCTCATCTGAGGAAGCAGATGACAGGGACCTGGCCATCCTGGCAAAGAGGCAGTGAGACCCTATGGGGGAACCTGATACCTGTGATCTGTACATTGTACAACTGGTTATATAACAAGGGCAAATGCAAACAACTCTGTACATCTCAGAACTGTTAGACACTAAGATAAAGTCCTACCTCGCTGTGCATCAGATACAAGCTGTGTAACTAACCCAGGAAATCTGAACCTGCCCACGGCTGCTCCAGTGAGCCTGCTTATTAGCAAAGCCGCTCTACTTTAGCACTACCTGCTATTGTTGTTTAAAACTGATGGTGGGGAGGAAATTTTAAATTAAAGTATTATATGCAGAGGTGCACAAATTACAACTGCAGAATGCCATCACTTTTTATAACATCAGATGCACCTGTGTAGCTGTCATGGAGAAATAGAGCATCACCATTCCCAGAAGCCCTGCCCTGTGTGCCCCCAGCCCAAAGAGGAGCACTTTCCCAACACTTGACAGAGGAGTTTTGCAGGTTTTTTTTTTTTTTTTAAAGCCTGTCATTAAATGAGGATATGTATTTGAGTACATATCCTCATTTAATGTAACACCCAGAGGGGGCAGGCTGAGTACAATTACCCCATTTTACATGGACACTGACTGAACCTCTGAACATTTTCACAGGACTCCTGCCCATGGAGTGAGACATGACCAAAAAGTGTTATGAAGCAAATGCTTGTAAAAACAAACATCAAGTTCAAATGAGGTGACTCCACTTTTGATAAGAAACAAAGAACCTGTAGGCTATTTTAAAATAAATATCCTCATAAAAGGGCAAAAAGCAAAATAAAATGTCTTTACTAAAAAAGTTAAGGATAGAGGGGAAAGATCAAGTTAGGGTATAATTGAGGGTTCAAATGAGAGAAAAGGATAAGAATACAAAAAATAAAAATAAAAATAAAAAACTACCCTCTTCATCTTGCTGCAAGGGTTATTATGTTTGAGTTTTATGAAAGAGACCTTGTTTCAGAGCAGGCCTTAAAAAAATCTCATTTATCCCTCCCTTCCCCTTTCATTAAGAAAAATTTAAGAAGTTACACTGTAAAACACATGCAAGTAACTCCAGCAGGAATAACTTGAGCAGCTACAGACCTGCTAGTCATATGCTCAGATGGAATTACGGTAAATCTGGCAAAACAGTTCCACCTCAAGGGCTGACTTATGTGACCTCTTGTAAAGATGCCTTGGGAAGTGGAAATGAGGATTAAAAACATCAGTATCTGTCTGTTCCAGGGCGCTATGGACTGATATTTCAAAGTTGTAATATAGTTTCCAATTTGCGGCTAAGTGGCTTATAACAATGCAAGATGTTAGTATTCAACATTGTGAAATTTGGGGAGAGGAAATGTGGAAAAATGATTTGAAAGCTCCCCCTTGTTGGGGCCCTCACTTCCAAGATGACCAAGAAGGAGGTACAGAGCCACACAAGAAAACAGGCAGGGGCGTGTGCAGCAGCCATTTCACTGAAACAGCAGCACTGACGCTGTCCAAGGACGAGGCCGCCAAGCCTGGGAACAGAGACGGCCGCAGTCTCAGAGGCCTGTCCACAGTGCATGTCCCAGGCGGTCTGTGAGATCCCACTGTGCATCACGTGTGCCCTTGACAGCAAGGTCGTCGGGAGCTGTGGAGCCCAGAGGGACCAAACACCCCACCAAAGCCTAGAAAAAGGAGCTAAAGACTTAAAGGCTAAAGCAAGCTGTCTCTTGGGGGAAAATACAAGAGAAATTATACTTAAAAAGAACATGTAGGAATCCTTTTTTACCTGAAAATTTGCTCGTACAGTCACAATCAACTTCAACCAGGCAGGAAATTTAGAGATAATTTTGGTAATAAATGAAGAAAGCGTATCTCCGTAATCTGGTTTATGAAACTCAGCTTCATTTAAGCCATCTATCAAAATAATGTATTCTTCTTCAGGAATTTTCTGTTCTAAAGGGTAAAATAATTGTTTTGAATTAATAAATTAGACATTTCTGTAAGATGGAACCACCCAGTGTATTTTAATGCACAGCAGAAAGTGTTAGGAGAAACTAGAAAAGATTTACATATGGCAGAGGATATGGTTTTCACAGAAGCATATTTTCTATTAAATTTATAATGAAAAGCAGAGCACAGAGCCAAAAGCAAACCAATTCTCACAGAATAGTTTCAAGAACATATTGCATTCTGCACATTAGCAGAATCTCACCCACGTATATGATATAGTTAGCGCATAATAAACTCCTGGCACTTGGGGGTACAGCAACAATGACACACAGAGACGAAATCTGGAAAAGACTCTAGGTTCCTCTCTAGAACTCCCTCAGTCTTCCCCTGAAAAGGTGGACCGTCTGGCCCATGGTAGTCAGCCAACACAACAAGCTCTTTCCATGAGACTGAATCAAGTTAGTTATTCGAGTCAACTCGAGTCAACTTTCTGCCCAGGAAAACAAGGAAGAATGACGGATCTGCTTCAGTCCCGTCTCTCAGTGCTTCTGGCAGAAGTGTTATGCAGACTAGTCAATTAGCCAAGAAGGTGAAGAGTCACTAGGAAGAAGATGAGAAACCAAAAGGCATACAGTAGCACCGATGTCCCCTTGGTGAACATTCAAGGGCAAAAAAAAAAAACCATGAGATACTTCTAGAAATGGCACTAGGTTCAACTCATTGAGTAGAGGTTATAAAAAAAACATGCCAGCAAATTCCCCAATGAAATTATTCCTCTGCTTTATAAGAGTACAAAATCTGCAGGCAATGCTTTATAGGGCATAAGTCAGCTAGATTGCCCATTGTTACAAATTAGCTACCTTGGAAATGTCCAACTGTGGACTTAATTCTTGTTAGCGATGTGTAATTTAAAACTACACCATTCAGGGGACTGGTAGGACCCTTGGGGAGATGGCTCTGAGGAAGGAGACACCAGGTGCAGCAATATACCACCTCCTGCCCTTGCCCTCCACCCCACTCCCACCATAGGACTAGAGACCCCTCCTTCAGAGGACTGCCTTGGGCCCTGGTCCTGCTGAGAGGGCTAGGGCGGCTGCTCCAGCGTACCATTTCTCAGGTTTGCAAGCGGTTCCAGCACCCCCCTCTTGAAGGCAGCTACCGGGTCCTGCACGCAGGATCTCAGGCTCAGCATGCTCTGCAGCTGGGGCTCCTTTATCAGCAGGTCTCTGTAGGCAGCCAGCTGGTGCGATCGGCATAGCAGAGCTGCAATGCTGTGCACGAACTCAGGCACCAGGCATGTGTAGGTGTTATCAGCCTGGCAGTAGTGGTAGGCCACGACCTGCGGGAGGCAGAGTTGTTAGCAGCCTCACCCTCTTCCCAGGTTCCCCCATGCTCTCAAAGACAGAGTTAAGACACCTTGCTTCTAATCCCCAACACTAAGTCATTAAGTAGATTAATTGGTTCATTTATTCCTTCATTTGTTCATGCAGTTTGCCAAGTGCCAGGCAGACTTTTAATTGAAGCCACAAACCCATCTTGATTAGCACTAAGATCAGCACATATTACTGTGTATTGAATATAAATTAATAAAAGTCATTTCATAAAGCCTAATGCCTACTCCATCTTAAAGCAATTCCAAGCAATCTAACATTCTCGAATCCACACATGCCATCTTCACTATGTTTCTGTTCACAAAAACCTCCCTGGGAAGTCATCTGCTGCTCCCCCAAAAAGCAGATAATAAAGTTACTGGCTACAATGACTGGGCAGTGAGGATACAGCTACTCCTTCCTCCAGCCAGATTGGCTCAAGCCCTCAGCTCCTACACAAACATTCCAAGTGACACTAGTAAATTTCCAAAGGGACATTTGGTGAAGGGTCAAAATCAGGAATTACCAGATTTCTGTCGACTGTGTAAAGAGACATGTAGGAGGAGAAAGGTTCCTACCCAGCCACTAAGAAGAGGAAGACTTTTCTTTGCTGGAACAGATTTGAAGTGGCAGCAGGTATGACCTAGGGAAATGCCAGGTCAAAACCCTCTTGGGAGTGGGAGGCACAATCAGATAAATGAGAAACTCAATATGTTCTCAAATGAGGAAGGTGGGAGAAATATAAGCACGAGGTAAGGAAGCTAAAGAGCATCAAAACACATTTCTATGAAGAGTTGTTTTTCCGAAGAGTCTGGGTCCCTGCTGTCCCACATGGCCCGATGACCCTGGCTTGAGCAGGACAGGAACTGCTGGCCTGGCCATCACATACAGGTTAAATGTCCTGCCAGTTGGCACAGATCGTTGGTGCACGACAGGGAATGAGATTCCAGCTCCGCTGCCTTAAAAAGTGAGAGGCACAAGTAGATGCGGCCCATTTGGAGCGCCATGAGACTCCTGGTTTAGATGAGTAAGTCATTAATACCCGAAGGGAACGGAGATTAGCGAGAACATACACGAACAGCCTTGGACAAACCATCAACGGCACGTGAGTACCACAGTCCACCAGCACGAGGCTTGAGAAGTCGGCAACCCGGCTGTAGCTCTCGATATCAACTTGGAGCCATGACAGAGGGGTAGAATGAGAAGTCAGAGAAAGACACGCACTATGCTTTCACTTATACGCGGAATACAGAGAAACCAAACAAGTGAATGAAGTAAACAAAAAAATTGGGGACTGTAATTAGACCCATTAGTGATTACTAGAAGGGAAAGAGAAGAGGAGGTGGGTAAACAGGTAAAAGGGGTCAAGTGCATGGTGAAAGACAGAACTGGAGTTCTAGTGGTGAGAACAGATGTTACTTTACAATGATGCGTATCTGAAATAAGTTATGTTATATCAATAAGAAATTACTTAGAGTGAATTTTAGAGGATGTAAGAATAAGTTTTTTTGTGATGCTTTTGCTTCCATTGTGGGTGCGATCAAGTGTGAGTAACAGGCCTCCCTCTAACATGTACTTCTCACTGCAGGTCATAAAGTGTCCTGAAAAATCACCGTCGCAGGGTGGTGTTGATGCCTACACTGCGTCCCTCAACTCAGGTCACCTGTTCACAACCAGAGGCCCCCTCCCCTCCAAAAAGGCTGCCCCAGCAGGTAAGGAGCAGCTGTCACCTTGGGAGCAGAAGGCAGAGGAGGGATGTGGGGCAGGCAAGCATCCACTCACTGCACAAGCCTCCCACTGAGGGGTTTCCTCATGACATGCCTGCCATCCATCACTGCCCACCTCTGTTGCCAGGGAGATCCCGCAGCTGTCCAGGGAACACATGTGAGGATTACCTGCTTTAAAGTAGGAGGTCTGCTTATGAACCTGTGACAGATGGAAATTTTCAAAGGACCTTGATTAACAAGTATAAGAAAGCCAGCCATATCTCTCTTACATCATCGCAAAGCCTTGACAGAAAGCTGCAGGAAACAATGTTACCTGCAATGGGGTGCAGGCAGAAGAGGCCCAGGCCACATGAGAGCACCCTGTTCTTATACCAAATGGAGGAGAACAGGATGGATTTGTACCAAGTGCAATGTTTTCTGCTGCTCTAAGGAACTCTTGATTCACTGTTTCAGAGGGATAAAAGTCTCTTGCTGGGGTCCTAAGAAAGATTTCTTTTAATCAATAGCTATTATTTGGAGTACTCTATCATAATCTCATCAAAAGCTACCCTTTTGCATTAAACATTAATGTATTTTCCAGTTCTTTTCTCAAAAGCCAATGTGCTCAAAGATGCCCATAGAAACAGAGATAACCTTAGAAGCAAGCTGTTTTGCTGCATCTTCTCTTGGTCTCTGGTCTTCCTGGGTGTCAGCTCCTACCCCAGGGGGTGTCTTAGCTGTGCCACTTCCAGAACTCGGTGAAAGCAATGGTGTGAATGGAAGATCTTGGGAAGAATCTGAAGCTGCAGCAAAAAGAGATCAGTTTCATTATTTACAAAACCAGAAAAGGGATATGTGGCACAGAATCTATTTCTTCATTAGACCCAGAGTATTCCAGTGTGTAATGAATGAACATGTAGCATATGCAAATTTACAGATTTACAAATGAGAAAAAAAGCCTCCTTTCTCAGCCTTGCTCCCCTCCCCTTGCCCCACCCACCCACTTGCCCTCCCTGGAGAAATCCCGTCCTGCGTTCGTTATTACATTCTTTTTCTTTAAATCTTGCATGGTTCACTGATTGCTGTTCACACTGTTAGGCTTTTTTTTTTTTTTTACTGGGCTTTTCAGCACATAAAATAAGCCATGAAGAGTCAAGTAGTTGGCTATTCTGCCCTATTTCAAAGCTACTTCTTACACTTTGGATAATCCAGTTTAGAAGACAAAGGCTGTGGAGAAGGGAGCAAATGAATTCTGTACCAGATACCATTGGGTTTGGTCTGCCAGCCAGGAGCCTAACCCCCTTGGGGTTTCAGCACCCAAAAGGCCCCAGGCACTTGATCAGGTCTCGCAGCTCCCCTCAGCCCACATACAGGGAGACAGGCATACTGCAGGGGGCGCCAGGAGAGGCTGGCCTCGAGGCTGCTGCTCAGGCACTGACAATAGACGGGTCCACAGAGTTCTCTAACAAAGGAGCAGCTGGAACAAGTTGAGGAAGGAACATGGGGAATTTATGTCTACCCAAACAGCAATTTCCTCCCACTATCTCATATTAATAAACTAGACAAGCAATTAAACATGGACATACTTTTAGGTGATGAGCTAGGGCTGCTGGAAGCAATCTGCCTCATGCGGCTTCCGTGGCAGCTGAGAGCCACCAACTTGGAAATGATCGCCGTCTTTCCAAAGCCCACGTTCCCAACAACCACCGCGCCTCTGTTATCTGTCAGTTCTGGGTTCTTCAGGTTTTCTTCTATCTGGTGAAAAAGCCAATCCCTTCCCACGAACACAGAGTCTGTTGTTATGCTTGGTACTTCAAACAACAGAGGTTTCAACAAAATGTCTTGTGGTTTGTAGGGAGCAAATCGTGCTTAGGGGGAAAAAAAAAACAGGACCATTATTTTAGAAGAATGTCTTTTTTGATTTTACATAGTAAAAGAACTCAATCATTGTATGGTCTGCACTACACTTCATATAGCATTTGGTGTCCCCCACAAGGGAACTGTATTTCCAATATGCTTCTATTAATACTGGAGTATCATACCCTTTGTCTTACAAAGTGTCCTGGTGAAATGAGTTTCCAGTACTTTTACGTCCCTAAGTTATTCTTGTGACCTACCGCAGACACAGAGAGGGTAGAAACGGTGCAAGGACCAAACCATGTCTCATCAGCTTATTGGAAACAGTACTGAGGATGAGCTTCCTACATTATCATGTAGCGAAACAGAAATGTTTTCCCTGGAGTCAGGGACCCAGCTCTCATCTGGGTGTCACAGTCCTTTGCATCTGTGGCATGTCTGCTGACCACATAAGTGTGCAGCCAAAAAGACATGGGAGGGTGTCAGTACTGTCCAAGGCACTGAAATAAACCTGCCTTTGTTTTTTTGTTTATAAATAAACCAAAAAAAGACCCTAGAGATCATTAAATGACTCCCTTGACTTCAAAATAACATATTGTAGGATTAAGTTTCAACTCCAGAAGCAAATTAATCACATAAGTTAAGAAAGAAGCCCCAAACTTTTAAAAGGATAGCTGAGAGTACATTACAGGTAAAAATATTTGGCGCACACATCTCACATCCCTTTTTAGCAGTGAGTTTAAAAGCTGGTTATGGCAGACTGCCTGTGCCGAGAAACTAGCCCATCCTAACCACTATCACAGAAGGATAAATACCTTTGGCTTCCTGTGCCCTGCCTCCAGCTGTGTTGTGCCAAGGTAACCTAATGGACGTTCGAAGAGGAGCGTTTCTCTGTCCATCTAAGTAACTCAGATCTTCCAATTTGGTCGAGCTCGTTGCTGTAACAGCAAACCAAATTTCAGCATCTTCAAAGTTGACTTGAACATTACACCCAGGCCATTATAAATTACCAATTACTAAGTAAGTTCATTCAGGCTTTCAACAAATTTGACTTCAAGGGAACTTTGGTTTTGCTTGTTTCCCCCAGTTCATTAAAAAGTGGTGAAAACCAAGTGCCCCTTATTTTATTCTTAAGCTGAAGTCTGGTTGCCAGAACTTTATTATTCCTGGAAGAGACAGATTTCACTGTTACGTTTTTTTATAACAAAATCTGACAGTCAAGATCACTCAGAAAATCTTCAGTGCTTAGTGCGAATCTGCTGTCTTCCCTAAAGCCCCACTTCTGCTATTTCCTCTTGTTAACCGAGCTGCTACCACATGTACAATTCCCCAGTACACAGAATGCCACAGTCAGCTCTGTCAGCTCAATACCACGTGGACTTCACCAACAAACACACATATATAGAGACATTTACATACACAATACAACAGATCATATGTGACACTGTCTTTCAATACATGGCATATTCTTTAAATACTAAAAATGGGCACATTTACCTCTGACCAAATTAATGACTAAGCCTCAAAGCATTAAGGTTTTATTCAAACATACACACAGGATGGACTATAAAAACCACCAGAGTAAAGATTTATACTAATTCGAAGATACTGCAGTACATGTTCTTAAAAAAGGAAAAGAACTAAAGTCCTTTTATTTACATATACAACATAGATCACAAGGAGAGAAATATAAATGAAAGTAACCTCATCTGACCTGTGGGTAAAGTGGCCCAACATAAAGATCTGTCAATCTTAACATTATCTTCCAGGATAATACAGGGCAAATGAGGGAGAGTGACTTGAATTCCAAGGGCTAATAAAGCCATCAGTGGGACCAAATTTCAGGTTAGGCCAGCTGTTTGCTGAAAACCCTCTGGCTATATCCCTTGGTCCTGACACAGCTTCCAGCTGCTGACCACACCATCTGCCTGGGCTGGGTCTTTCCTGCATCCCCTCCGAAGAACAAAGTCCTGTCCTGCCTCCCACCAGAACCTTTTCACTCAGGCAGGCAAGGCGGTCTGGGGCTGATGGTGTGGCCTCTCGGGCCACAACTGTTTGCCCTATTCACCTTCCCAACCAGTGCAGATACACCTAAAATCTAGAATTTAAAACTCAAACACGTGGGCTTCTTGATCCTTTTGGGTGAAAATCCAGAGTTTACTGACACATGGTGTACATGTGTACATCAATACTCCCTGCATATCTTTTCCGGTAGAAAGATTCAGGCTGTATATCCAAAGAGGTCTTGCTTATGGGAAATTAATGGCAGCCTCTAGCTTCGGTCCAGCTCTTTCATAACCAAATTGTACAAAACTTCCTGGAGAGCCACCAGGACCAGACCTGTCACCCTCTCTACCTATCACAGCACAGCCTGGAACACATTTCTAGGGTCCTACCTGGGGAGCTGGGACTCAGACTTAGGCTTCTGTACATGTCCCTTTCCTCGGCACACCTCCTAACCAATATATTAGAGGCCAAAGTAGGAAGAACTGCAGCCATATCCCGTAAGCTGGTTCCTTTCAGAGCTTGGCCATCCACAGTTGTCAGACCTGCTGCCTCAGCCCTGGAGAATACAGGAACCTTGGTGCCTCCAAGGGGTTTCCTAGTCCCCCTTTTTTCCTGATCCCTTAGAACATGACATTCATTTGATAAGATTGTGACAACAGAAAGGATAAAGAATAGGAAACTATAAGGAGTTCCAAAAGAAAAGTTTGCAGAAAAGCCTTAGTATAATGCAGAAGTAGGAGATGGTGAAGTATCAAATCTCCACACCCCCTCTTACAGTGCTCCCCCCAGCTTCAGCTAAGGTATGCAACAAGATGACTTCAGCAATCCATGTCTCCATTTCAAATACAATTAAAGTGCACTGAAATGGGCATTGCTTGGCAGGGCAATAAGCCACCAGCTATAGCCACCTCTGCTAAACACTACCCCAGTGCTCCCCATGTCATGAGGAGGTAACCTGGACCACATTCTACTTCTTACACACATCCATGTAGATTCTCAGACATCACAAAGACCAGAATCATACCTGCTTCCAGTATTTAACAGTAAGTGCTTTTAAAATTCCAAACACTATTTAGGGCTGAGGAAAGCAAAGATAAAGTAATTATTTCATGCTGCTGTAAACCTACTGTAACATCACCACGATTTGACTACGCACTTATTGCACACACACACTGCACTTCCAGGAGCCTTGTTAAAGATGTGGCAGGGAAGTTTATACTCTTGTGTTTTGGGGTGGGGTGGCAGGGGGGGGGTGTGTATGTGGGTGGAGGGAGAGCAAAGAAATAGATCTGTTGAAATAGTATGCACTAACAGATCCAAGGTAAATGCCCTTAAGTCCAGGGCAGTTACCACCAGAGTTACAAGAAAATTGGATGTTAATTGTGTTTGTTGGTTTCCTGGAAAACCAAATAGTGACTCCTGAGAAAGCGTTTGAAAATAAAAAATAATAATAATAATAAATGTAGCCAGAAATATTAGAACCCAGTTACTCAACTTATACATTATCTAAGATATCACTTTAAAATCCTCTCACTCTATTTTTTAATAAAGAAAAAAAAGGTGCCCTTGTCATATATTTGGCACTGTATATAGTAATAACCTGATGGCAGTCTTCTAAAGCAAATTCATTCTAACACGTATTTTTACTAAGCAATCTCTGTGGAATAAGACTGTCTCTAAGCTTACCCACCTTATTGCTATTATCTCAGAAAAACAAAGTCACTAGATAGTGAAAAAACAACTACAATGGAACAAGTTCTATGACAGTGAAGGTTGATGAGCTTAGAAGCGTTTCCATGTCCTCAGCCCTTAGGGCCCAGGGCCCTGGGGCAGCTGTGAGCAGGAGCCTGGCGCCATCATCCCCTCACCTGCCACCTCTGTACCAAACACCTTTCCATCAGGTGGTGATGTGTGTTTGAAGGGATCATCACATCTGCATTTTTTCAAGAGCTTTCAGTTCTTTACATATTATTTCAGTCTTTCTAACATCGAGGGCTGCATCTTGTCCTATGTGTTGAGTTTGCCCTGTTACCCTAGATAACCCTAGCTGCTGACAGTCTGCACACTCTAAATTGCATTCTTTTCAATAATACTGAAAGATCTTACCATTCCTTTTAACTGAGGTTCATCTTGAGGGGTAGGGCAGTGAGCAAAGAATCAACCCAACTTCTAACTTGAGAAAAGATACCATAAGTGGAGCACTTACCTGTCTCCTTTCAAATTATGCTTTTAGTTTATAAAATATGTGAAGAAATAAGCAAACCCATTAGGCTAGAGAGTCACTGCTCAAACCCAGAGGTAAAACCCTCCCATTCCACGGGAGGTCTAGCCCAAGTGCATACGTAGAAACTAATGAGTGAGCACAGCAGAAATCAGAAAGCCCTGCTCTATAATCACTGCAGTCTCCTGGAAAAGCTCAGCTCACACCACTGTCACTTTACATGGCAGGAGATCACATAAAAGAACTTCAGGCAGAAAACATAACCCCAAACACAGTGCTTTTAACACTGGTAAATTAATGTATTAATGTATTTCCTAATTTTAAAATCGCTCATTAAACAAATACAAGTTTGCTGTTTTCTTGACGTCAATAAAGTATTTTGTTGTGGGATAATACAAACGAACCATTCACCATACGCTAGGTAAATGTGGTAAAACGCCTTGGGTGCAACATGTTATGTGGCAGGTAATGGGAGGACACAAAGCCTTTAGGAGCACCATCACTCAGAATGCAACAAAGCTCCCCATACTTCTCTCTTGCAGACATGCCAAATCCCTCTTCTGGAACAAAGCCATTTTATAGCCTTTGAAAGTGAATTAGAGTTGTGCCTCAGAACTTTTCCATTAGGGCCACTTATTTATCAGCTGTTTCAAAGTTCCATTGTAAAAAACATCACCAACAACCAGAGTGGCCGACCACATCCTGAATCAGCAAGCATAAATTACAGCAAAATCCTTTAATGTAGAAAGAGACACTCTGGCTCCATGCGTTAGTGGAAGATAAGTTCTAAGTGCTACATTCATAGCAAATGACCATAAGTTCCTCTTCTAAATTCAACCACAGAACACTGGAGTTAAGAAATTCAGGATCTTAAAACAGGCGGAACAATTCAAATGCAAAGTTGCTTTCCTGGCCATCCTTAGGCCTCTCTCCCTGGGGACAACCACCCACAGATAGGTACAGGGGTCCACTAACAACAAGCACGGGCTCCTAAGTATCATGTCCTTGTTTCAGCTGCCACATCTTGCTACAGCCCGTCTCTTTTGCCAATTTTCATTTCCTCAACAAGAGCTCTTACTTCCACTGCCTGTTATAAGTTCAAAGTCTCTTTAGAATAGAATTACACAGAAATTGAAGCTCCCGCCTGTATGAAATAAGTCTGAAGGTTGGGTAAGAAATTCTTTGAGCTGATATATATAACAAACTCACTCTAAACAACCATTCCTGTTTACCGTGGTATAATAAAAGGTCATGAATTCACTCAGGCTTGCAGTAACAAAACCAAGGGTAGAGATTATTTATACTTTGCTCCTTCATACACAGTCACATGGTCTTAATCTTAGATTTAAAGTAACCCAGAGTAGAAGAATCACTTAAAAACCATTAATGCAGCCTTATCTTATTTTCAGATGGGTAAACCAAGGCCTAGTAAAGCTACATGCCTGGTCCATGATCGCAAAGCTGTCTTGTGAGCCAAGTAAAGACAACAAACGTAGGCTACACTTCAGACCCAGCAAGGAAACGCTTTAAGGGGAGAGGCGTGGCCTTACCTGCAACAGAGTTGGGCCTTGGCATTATTAGCGAGCTGGAGCTCTGAGAATAAGGAACTGGACCATCTCCAGTTGAGGCTTCAGCTTTGGGAAGCACACTCTCCGCTGGCCCCGTGGGCTCTTCTTCTGCCACTGGAGAGCAATTATCTGCCCTGCGATCATGAAGCACTCCCTTCTGTGGCCCTAACCTTAGGCTTCCATCTTTGTTCCATTCCAAACTGGAGCCACTCCGGTCATCGTTTTCGGATGAACTTGTAATTGTGGCTGAAATGAGAGACCAAAATACTTCGAAGGAGGCCAGGCCACACTGGGGCTGTAGAGAGTTAACTAACACACACACACACACACACACACACACACAGCCCTCCCCACTATCAATGGAAAGTTTTCTGGTCCACAAAGATTTTTATCAAAGTATGCTGCATACAATGTACTTTGGTAAATTAGAAGGATGTTGCTTATCAGGGGAAATAAAATGCTAAATCATTCTATAGGGAAGGAAAAAAACTGATAGGAAGATAATGAAAATGCTGTCTAAAACTATCTGAGAGTTAATGGTAAATGTATGTAATTTGGAGATAATGTATCCTCTCTTTAACAAGGATGAACTGCTCACAGAAGAATTCATATCTCATTAAAATTCCCTTAAACCTTTAAATATTTTTTCCAAATTAACAACATTTGTGTATTGGTGGGAGGAAATTCTTATCTCATTAAATTCATTTAAATTTAGAAAGTTTTTCCAAATTAACAACATTCGTATATGGGGGAAGAGAGGGGGGAACACAATGGTTAATGCAGAAAAGATGCAGGAGAAAATCCATAAAAACAATTATAAAGTCAAGCAGAGAATTTGAGCCGCAGAATTAAACTTTGTAACATCTGTTGAAAACAACCCAGACTGATTTGTTCCTTTAGCAGCATAGAATGGAAAACCTCTAGGTAACAGCACAGGGAAAATACAAGCATGAAACAGGGATACTTGATTAACATTTAGCCAGCATGGAAAAAGATCCTAGAAAAGAGGAGGGATATGACAAAGGAAAGCAGCAATATTTGTCCTACATAGTTTATGCAAGCAGGCACTTCTAAAGACAGCGAGACCTCTGTGTCCCCCTCACAAACACCAGCATCGTGGACCTAGTGTTGGCTTATGTCCTTGAGAACAGGGGCCCTGTCCTCTGATCCCTTCTCTGTTTGGCTTCCAGCAGCTCAAGCCCTTAACAGTGAGGCTTAAATGTGAGCACCAAAGGTCAAAGTGTATTCAGAACCCAGCTGCCAGGATTACATGGTTTAGAGCACACCATGATGATACACACTGATAAGCAGAGGCCAGTGAATTAGCTCCAACAGTCTGTTATCTAGGCTCAAAGGGTCTAAAGGGGTTTTGTTTATTTTTACAACATTCTTTAAGGTTTAGAAGTAAAGACGAAACACTTTCCTTGCTGTGACCACAGAGCACTGTCACAATTCTAAGGCCTGTCTTTCTCCTGCTGCTCCAGTCTGGACACAGTCCTCTGGTTATATTTCTATTTACAAAGTGCGCCTACAAGGTACCAACAGCATAATGAACAGCACAGTGTCCGTAGATGTTTGCTTATTTACTTGATGAACAAATGAACAACTTCTGCTCCAGAGCGACTACATCCGTTCACAGTCACTACATTGAGTGTCTGTTACTGGTTCAGGTTGGCTAGTGTTATGTCTCTAGCCAAAGTGTAAGTTGATCTGGGAAGGCCCTGTCACACCTCTTGGGTGTTTGTCATTACTTCCAGTAATTCCAGGCATTCTCTCAGCAGTATGAAGCCATCTGTCTAGCTGAAATAAATTATAGCCTTCACTGTACTTTTCTTTTTTTTTTTTAAATAATATAATAGCTTATTTTTACATCATTTTGTGCATTTTTCTATCTTAGCTGCAATCCCCTTGGGCTTCCCATCACCAAATCACCCATGTGCCATCACCATAGTCCAGTGCATTTCCCTCCCCCTGTACTTTTCTTTTTTAAAATGACTCACTGATGAACATAAGGTAAGGATGAGAGCATCTATCCCAAAAACACCAGTGGTCCTTAGGAGCTGCTAACATTTACTAAAGGTTATAGATGTCAGGGATCGTACTAAGAATTTCATTTGTGCCATTTCTCATGTTATTTTGGCAATTAATTATTTACAGCAACCCTGTCAGTAAGATGTCATTGTGTGACAACCCCTGCTTTACAACTCCAATCTTTGGGGGCTCATAATGGTGAAATTAGCTACGGGGGAAAAAACGATAAAACACCACAACAAGTGAGTTACAGGAAAAGTTCCAAGGATGCGGATGATTTTGTTTGGTTTTACTACAATTTCTGTTTTACTGGGGGGTAGAAAATAAATGACTTTCCTCACTTGCTTTAAGTGTCCTGCTCTTCAGAATCAAATGCCCACAGACCTGAGCTCCAACTCAGACCTCAAGCCGTGGGAACAGGACTGTTCTTTTCTTCTACCTATTACTTCTTATTAAAGTGATAGCAGCAGCAGGATTTCAGGGTCCCAGGAAGCAGCTGAGGCCAGCACAGATTGTGACAGGTACATTCTCACCAAACAGTGACAAGTGCCCAGGCCCTGATGAATGACAACTTTCAGGTCCTGGCAGAGGAAGAAGAGTGGGTGGTGGGCCAAGGCCAACAGCTGCAGATATAGCAGCTGGGAAGAGAAGCCCCAGATGGAGTCACCATTCCAAAAGGAGCATATGTAGCTTTACAATATGTCTGTAAGTAGGAGACTCCCCACTACCTTCATGAAGTTCAGCTAAAATATCCTACAGATCACAGTAACCTGGCCCCAAGACACAAGTAGGGGAGACGCTCTGGAGTTAGAGTTCTCCATTAAGATGCTCTGTCAACAATGCCCCTCTTCACAAAATACCTGTCTGAGTACCAAACAGCAGAAATGGCCTACATGGTCTAAAACCTAGGCAGTAAGCATTCATCCTGGCTCAGGCATGATTAAGCTCTCAAATATCCAGGGGGTCATATAAAAACCCAACCTGTTCAGCTTCTCTGCAAAACCTAACAAACACACCAAAATCACCAGCTTCACAATCTCTTACAACAAAGTCCGGCTACTCAAACACACCCATTTTTCTTCTGAGCTAAAAGAAATCTAAATTCCTAATTAAGTTATTAACCCAATCACCTTCAGGTTAACACAAACAAATTAGAACAATATCTTAGTATTTTTAAAGTTCTGAAGAATAAATGATATTTGACTTTTTGCACAGACTGGATTATCTTTCTAAAGTTCCCAGTGACTCAAAAATCCTAACATTGTATTCCTTCAGCCAGAACAGATGCCAGCTTCTATAAATAAAAGCTTGCCAAGGTCACTCAGAATGAATTTCAACCACTTCTTTGACATGCAAGATTCTGTAAAAAGAACAATTTGTCAGGCCTGAAGTTTTACCAGGCTATGAGTTAGGTTGTGCCTCACACTTCAGTATCAGACTAACTTTGTTAAAGCTATGAACACTTTCGATTCTGTAGTTTGAAAATGTCTTTTAGCCAAACAAAGTTATCTTCCTCTATAGAAACAGCACCTTTAACCAGAACCAGTAGTGCACAGGGCTATGCTACTACTTCTGAACTATCCCAACACATGCATGATCATGCTATTTGTGAGAAGAGGTGGACTGCTGAGAACCATCAACCCTGCTTTATAGATATGCAAACAAACTTAGGAGAGACTGATAACACTCTGCCAATCTCTCAGTCTCTCTCTTCCGTGCGCTCTCTCTCACTCACTCACTCTCACACACACACACACACACACACACACACACACACACACACACACACACACACACACACACACACACACACACACACACACAGACAGAGTAGAATTTATTAGTAGTATGTCTAATAAAAGCTTTTTGATTGTACATGCACTGGTTTTAAAAATCCCCTGGGCCCTCCCTGGTGGTGCAAGAGATTAAAGCACAGTACTTTGAAGCTGTCCATAGACACTGCAGCATGAGTTCTACCCCAGCCAGGGAGGTGACTACATGGCACAGCAGACCTCTCCTGTCTCGCCCTCTGCTCCCCTCAGCAGTCTATTTCAGTCAGTTGGCCTGTTCTGTTCCCCACTCTGTCTTTGGTGAATCCTCTTTCCACCCGCCCCCCCATCCCACACCTCTGGTCTGTATCTCAGTTCTTGTATGCGTAAAAAAAATTAAAAAAATTAAAATTCCCTTTGCCTCGAACAAACAGTATCAGCACAGAAGACTCTGCTAAGTATCTGAGTAATATATATATATGCATGAAGTTAGTTTTGTTAAAAATGGTCACACAAATTGTTTTGTTCTGTAGGTTTCTATAACAAAACCTTTTTCTTTTCCCCTCCTAAGTTTTCTTTATTCCCTCTTTGCCTTTTGAAGGTTCTTTCTTTGTTGAACACAAAGAAAATTTAAAATAAAATTTAAAATTCTATTTAAAATAAAATCAGAAAAAAAAAAAAACAAAGTCAGTGTAAATCTAGGGCTCAGAAAGTAGCTTGGTGGTAGAAAATTCAACTGAGTAACATTAATGCAGAATTGTTTAGGAAGTAAGGGCCATATATTTGTCATCACATATATATCAAATGCAGAGGGCAGAGCGTTTCCTTTGAGCTGTGGAAAAGATACATCCCTCTGACTTAGGTTTGAAGCTTGGCTTCTTCCCTTTTGAGGGGCTCACAGGGGGATGTGACTCTTGGTCCAGTCCTAGGTATGGCATTTTTGTCTTTGCTTCGCAACCACCCTCTCATATATTTGAATGTGTTTTTTCATACTGACTAGCTGGAAACTTAAAGAGTAAAATTTTCCGATAACTTATAAGCAAAAAATAAAAATCTTTTAAGAACCCGACTTGTGACTTCAGCTTTTCTTATTCTTGTTTCCTTTACCTAACACACAGCACCTCCACTGAGAAAGCAATATCTTGTTCTACTAAGTGTGTATTTGTGAACATTCAAATTCATTGAGGAGGGAATAAATATAAATAAGTAACTACTCTTAGGAAGTAACAGTGATGAGTGACATAAATACTGTAACAGGGTTTACCAAATAGGGACTGAGTTCTTTCTTTTTCCTATCTACTTACTGAAAGCTCCTAACAGCCCTCTGGGCAGGAAAAGTCTTGCTGTGCCCCTAAATAGGGCTCCACACTACTCTGATTATGCTACACTACTAGCAGCAAATTTTGAGCACGTATCCAAGATACATGTATTTATAAATAACATGTA